TCAGGTCACTGGGGAAGCATCTCACTTTTTGTCATGGCCCGAGTTCTGTTTTGTTTTCCTTTTTCCTTTTTGGTTTGCCTGCTGCTTCCTTCCCTGTCCACCAGATGTCACCGGATGACTGAGCCCCTGGAGAGATGCGGTGCCAACCCCGTAGGCACACCTGTGTCTAATCTGGAGCTGGCTGCTGTGGTGTATTTATGGAGCGTCTGGCCAACACTCCAGTGCCTGAGTGTTGCCTTCCATGGGTGTTTCCCCGTGTTTGCCGAGTTCGTCAGTGAACGCTGTCCTTCCCTGATCTCCCTGTGAGCCACCTCCACGACGCCATAGGTCTTACCTATCGGACGCCATACTCCGTGCACTTACCTTCTCCTGATCCACCCCTGCGGACTCACCTTGAGACGCCACCAGCTACCCGCAGGTCGCCCTAGCCCCGGGAGCTATATTAGACCTGGACCTCCGCCAGCGGCTCTGTCCGTCCACAGCACACTTACCTGTCCGCCCTCCAACGCTCTCCGTCGACTCAGTCTGCCGGAACCTGGAACCCACGCCTCTGCAGCAGGTCTGCGCTTCCACTCTCCCTTCCTGAAATCAGACGTTCTGATTCCTCTTACCAATCTCCGACCATCGTCCCCTTACCCCTTTCCCTTTAAATAAACTTATTTAACTGATTTTGTTCTCCTGAGCGTGTTCTTGCATGTGGGTAAGAAAACTTGAACCCGACATGACACTTTTCTGGTAGGAATAGTGTTGTCCACAAAGAAGCTCATATAGGCAGTCACTCACTGAATTAATATATTAATGTCATTAATAAGTATCTTTGAAAACAGTTCTGCTTTGTTTTACAGGCATTTTGCTCAGTTTAGCAAATTTTTCTGTCTCGTTCAAATGGCAGACCAAGTTTTACCTCATGTAAAGGATAGAATAATTGTTTATAAATTTCTAATCTCCATACATTGTATTACTTACACTTGATTTATTCACTGTTGAAATATTCATCTAAGCCACATGTGTCAAACTCAAGGCCCGGGGGCCAAATCTGGCCCACCGCAGCTTTTTATGTGGCCCTCGAGACTCCAAATTACATCAATAAGTCCCTCCAATTTTTCACAAATCTGCGAAATTGACACAAAATCAACAAATCTTTATATATTTTTTTTCTGATTTCACTGCAAATTTTTCTAAAATTGGTCAAAAACATTGAGTTGAAGTTTCAATGTAAAGCCGTCTCAGCTTTACTGGATGTCAAGTTATAGTAGGTGATTGATACAGTGATAAATAAAAAGTTTAACATCATACATTAGTGCAAATATTGTAAAAAAAAATCCTTGCAAATATTTCTAAATTAAAGCCACAAAGTCTGTGATTTTGATTGTAAAAAACACAAAAACAATCACAAAATCCTGGAGAGACTGATCAGTGTGAAAAGATGTTCAATATTACTTAATTTTAATTGAATGCTAAAACAAGCAGTTAATTATTGATACTTTAACAGTTGAATGATTTTATTGATACATTCTGGCACAAAGTTTTGTTACCACCGAGACAAATCTTTGGTAACAAAATAAGTATTTTCATTTTAATTTTCTTTTTCTGTTAAATTGCCTGTGTGGTAAACAGTAAGAAAAACATTTAGTGTAACTTGTGGAGTTTTCAGCTTAATACTTAAAAAAATGAACATGTGGAATTTCATGTTAATAATAAATAATTTTACATCTGTCTGGTGATCCACAGAAGCAGACAAACCAGTCATTTGTTTTCTTTTTATTTAAAGACTAATGCAGAGAATCAGGATTTACAGGGCCATATCATAACCAAAAGAAACAAAAAGAGAACATTTACAGAAGGTTACCAAATCATCTACATCAATCACAACCCTCTATCAGTATCACTGAACTACCAGCATATGTACTGCATGTGGATATGTGAGCTTGTGTGCATTTTGTGTGTTTATAATGTCCATATAGATTCAATCTTGTTCTGTTTTCATTCACCCTAATCGACCTTTTGTGCTTTAGAAAATTACTACATTTGAAGTTCTTTTCAGTGAAAATTAGAATATATTATGTTTGATAAAAATACAAGAAAAAAATATTCCAGTAGGAATCTAGGAATAACCAAAAGACTCATTGTTGGAAAGCATGTTTGCAATGATGAAAACCGCCATGGACCCGTAAGGATGTGATATTTACATCATGAAATGAGTGAAGGTAATAGGAAGCTCATGACTGTACTGTGTCTTATGTTTCACATTCTGAAATGTAACAAAACCAGACCTGGCAAAAAAGAGACAATAATATATACTTAGACATGGTATTTAATCTTTGTTTTTTTTCCCTCTTTGAATACTATGCTTCTGGTGGAAAACGTTCAAGCTGTAGAAAATTCACATTTATTCTCTCATTTTAACATGTAAGGTCAAAAACTATGTTGGATTTAAAAGTACTTTTGATTTAGGAAATTAAGTGAATAACATTAATACTGTTTAACAAAAAAGTAAAAGAAAACATGTTTGCCTCCCTTCATTTTTGTACAAAAAAGAAATCATTCTAGAACTTGAACACACATTTTTAGACAAAGAAATCTTGTTACAGTTTTGCTCCTGACTTTTTCGGCTCAATCCTTTTATTGCACAACTCTGGAGAAAAAGTGCAATTGGCCATAAAAGCCATTTTCCTCTCAACCAAAGACAAATCTGAAGCACAAACAAAAGAGATAATCCACTGTGTTCTTCAATGTCACCCTGTATGGCCATTTTTGGAAGGAAAAAAAAAAAACAAGCTAAAAGCTGGTATAAAAGCTAAGCTATTTTCTTTTCATTATAATTTGTAAATCTAAAGCTTAATGGTTATGGAGAAAAAGGTCAATGAAGCAGTTCAAAGTTGTCTTTGCATAGCACGAAGCCAACTACATAAATGTAATGTTATTGTTCTTTTTAAATGTGCAAAATGCATAACAATAAATTCGTAATACAAACAATATTCATCATTTTCTCTTCTAATATCTTCAATAATATAATCAAATGCTGTATGTTTATGTATTTTACATATGTATATATATTTATATATATTTCTTCATGATAATAAACATAAATACATTTTTTTTTAGAATTCTAACATCTTTGTACAACTCTGTATCCTGAACCTTACATCCCTTGGCCCTCTGCATGTAGGTAAAGTGGCCGTGAACAGTGGACTGTCTGCATATGCTTGCTAAAGTCTTCCATTCAGGGATAAATTTAGTAGTGATCATAACCGTGATGCAAACATAATGGAGAAAGCACTAATCTCTTCTTCGGATTCCTTCTGGCAGCAATGTGATCTTTTAACAGCACAACACAAAAATGTAATCCCCTGCAAAGTGTTCATACACCTTAAACCTTTCCACAGTTTGTCACGTAGCGACCACACAGTTTAATGTATTTCAGTAAGACTTCATGCGATAGATGAACACAAGTGGCTCATTTCTGAAGCAGAATATAACAGTTGTTTGTTACCAAGAAATATTTTGTGTGATGCAAAAGCATTCAACTCCCTTTACACTGATTACCCTAAATACAATCCAGTGCAGTCATTTTTTTTCAGGAGCCATCTAATTAGCAAACAGACTTCACCTGTGTGTTTAATGTCATTACAAACCAAGCTGTTTTTGAGGCCTTGGAGTTTTGGAACAAGCAACAAGGAACACAACAGGTGGGTCCAGGAAAAGGTTGGAGTAAACTCTATGCCATTACCATGGTGAAACATGGATATGGCAGTTACTTCCTTACATACTCACATTGTGATGTGAGGATCTATGTCTCCTGAAAAATGTGGGAAGATGGTCAGAGTAGTTGAAAAAATAAATTGCAGTAGAGGAAGAAAAGCTAATTGAATGCAAAAGCACTCAAGAGTTGGCTGGATGCACCAAGTATCTGTGGCAAGACTGCAAATTACTTTTCATAGACACTCATAATCCATTCTGATTAATCTTGAACTACTTTCACAAAGGAGTTGAAAAGAAATTGGCTCTATATGCAGATCTAGTATAGACCTAAAACATTTAACAAAATATTAATTTTGAGGGGGCTGAATACAAATGCATGTCTGAGTTTAAATAAAAACGTCACTTTCCTTTTATTTGAAAATTATGCACTACATTGTGTTGGTCTATCATGTAAAGTCTCAAGGAATGCCTTAAAGTTTGCTTGCACAATAAAATGTAAAAATGTTCAAGGGGTATTGATGTTTTTGCAAGAGATGGCTCTCCACGGTTCTTATATGTGTGTGTGGCTTAATTCAATCCCATGTAAAATACATTCAGCACAGCACACTGAGAATCCACAAAGCAGCGCTGTGGTACTCTACATTTTGTCAAAGAAGGTCAGAATTGAAGCCAAAGGCTTCACAAAGCAAGATGGTTACATAAAGCCTGGTATTTTTACCCACATATCAAAAGTATTTAATAAATGTCCATGCCCAGCACAAATGAAACTACAAGTACAGATGGGTCAGTGTAAAGCTACAATGGATATCACCCCCAGACTGAGTGTCAGGTTCAGGTCCTAAGAAAAGCCCTTACTAATAAATATTGCTACATCAACATAATTAAAAATTGGACTGTTTAGAAACCTTTACATGTCACGTCAGAGGAGAAGCCTTTCCTAAAAGCCTGTCTTTTTAATTTAAAAGAAGAAAAAGAAGCAAGCAATGTTCAAACCCAAACGAAAACATTCTTTCCACTTTATGTTGTTTGGAAGAGGGATTGACATCATGCTACAAAAATATATTCATCTTCAGCACTATCGTTGAACTACAAGACAAGTCCTCTTTGCGAAACACAGCGCCGGCTAACCTAAGATTACAGTGCCACTTCAACTCATTGTCTTTTTCCCCCTTTTGTCTCTTTCGTTCTCTGTCCCTGTCTCTCGCTGTTGCTCACCAAACAAGCAGCAACAAAATGACTCCAAACGGGGCATGTGATACTGAAAGGCAGTGTAGCTGGTACTTTCTGAGTATTATGTCTCAATTTTCTTTCCAGTGAATCTGGAAACTGTAGTAAACGTGGTCAGCGTGGGGATTCAGTGGGATGGAAATAAAGACGTGCCGCCCATCTACAAATCCATCACAGCTTGAATTCTGGAAATGATAAAGGCACTTCTCCTCCATCTCAATGTGCCCCACCACATGCTAACTAAACTTTTCTACAAATGCTGTATTAGCAAAGGAGGTCCCAGCCTAAAGACTCCAACAGAAACAAAAAGTAAACAAAAATATTAAATAAACTTGATGTCATGTTTAATTCAGAAAATTTGCAATGGTTCTAGATTGTTGCCTACAACTTGCCATCATTAGAAAAGATTTTATTGGTGCATTTGGTGTGGCCACAAACACCCAGCTAAACAGTGTTTAAATTCAGTTAAACCAATTTAGCATGAAATGTAGATTAGGTGAGAAACAGTCACTCAAAAATGAATGAACTCAGTTTATGCTCCATTTGTGAAAAGAATCAGAATGAGAAACCATTGATTCAGCTAAAACCCCGTTAGTTACACTTTGCAAAGCTTAATCATAATAAAGACATCTCTAACACTTGGTAGTATTTACAATGCAGTGAAATTAAATCCATATATCTTCAGTTCTGAGCACAGATGATTTAAACTTTGTATGTTTTGTCCTCTAAATAAACTGTGTCCACTGAGACATGTTTTATTGCTATTGCAGAAACAATAAAATATTTTTTTTTCAAGAATGACACAATCTAATAAACATTCTACCTAGAATGGAAGATATATTTGAAAAAGAATGAGCGTTACACTGGTGACATCAAATAACCCAAGCCATCAGTCAACACGGGTCTAATTTTTGAATAAATAAATAGAAATCATAAAATTTCCTGCCCATGCATATTCACAGGTGCCTCTTTACTGTCTGTAATTCCACATTTTAAAATAGGTTAAAGAAAACAAAGAAACAAAAAAGGGAGACACTTAAGCAAGAAAACAAACAAAAACACTGCCCCAGGAAAAACTTGGGCTATGAAGTGGTAGAATAGCATTGTGTTGGTTAGATATTTTTAGTAGCATTTTGTAGTAGCATCCTCTTGGACCTGAACGATACCCTTTCAAAACTCTGAATTTATCTTTTTTTTTTCTATATTGTTTCTTTTGAAATCTTCAAAATTTAGATAAACACAGAAGCAATGCAACAACTGGGTATTCAAACCAGAGTGGACGCAATGTTTATCTCAAAATAACCACTTTTTTGTAAAAGGATTAAGAAAAAAAAATAAATCAAAAAGACAAAAAGATGAATTAGGTGTGATTGACCCCCTGCAATTTGGGCTTCTTATTCAAGTAGGTTGCCCAGTAGACCAAGTTAAAGGTTCCAAAGAGCAGAGGGAAGGCTATTCTGGCAATCCTGTCTATCTTGCTCACACTGTTAAAGGTCTTCTTGGCCTCAGGGGGTTTGGATTTCGGCTCCTCTTTGGGCTCATCTGGGGGTGGAGGAGCGCTTTTGGCGATTGTGGCTAATCCCGGGTTCCTGGCAGGATTGGGTGCGAAGGGTGTAGCAGTGGTAGGCGGGTAGGCCGTTGTGTTGTTTTTCTTCAGGAGAGATTCCTTCTTCTTCTTTTGCTGATTGCGGTTTTTAGAGAAAGAATTGGGGGAAAAGCAAAAGCATATCAAGACTTCAGTTTACAAAGAAATTACCGGTTTTAGATAGATTTTTTCACTGGGTAAGAAAGGGCAATAAATTATAACACTCATTTTTCATTATGTAAAACATATTATATGTAGTTACTACACACAAACCTTTGTTTATAAACCTCGGTTTCTAGTTATAATGACTTTCTTAATGCTAATTAAAACATATTTAGGAAGATTAGAATATCATATCGGACCAATAAAGAAATATTGTTAACACAGAAATGAGGGAATATTAAAGGTTATTTTCAGGAGGTAACTTGAATTTGCCAAAAGAACCTAATCAGAAAATACAGACCAGTTTACTGAGATCTACTTCTGATTTAGACGGTTAAAAGTACCAACAAATGAATAAATTGTGAAATAAACAGTCAAAAAATGTAAATAAATACATTTAACTTAATGTTTATATCATGTAAGACGAGGACGTGTTTCCTTCTTTTGCCGTTGTTTTTCTTTTTGTTTTGTTTTTCTCTTTTGTCATACAAAAATGTTTCTGAATGTCAAACTAATGGAATATCCCAAATATCAGCCGACCAGTAAAGGGTAAGGCTGAACACGGTGTGTGAATACAGCACTGTGAAGCATTTAAACAAATACTGAAATAACCTTATATCCTTCGTTAAGCATATAATAACGACGTCTAATTTTAAGAACAATCTTTTAAACGATTCTAAGATGATAGAAAAGTATTTATCTTTTGGGTTTGCTCTCTTTTGGCTGGAGGATACGGTGTTTAGTGCTGCTAACTGCAGCATGCAGACAAGTAGAGCAGAAAGCTCAGGATAAACACTAAACTATTAATGTTCATGTCATGTTTCTGAAATAGCACTTTCTATTAGATGATGTGCAGACTGTAACAAAATGTTCTCCGTCTGAACTAAGTTACAAAGCAATTATCAAAAATGATTAGGTCTTTAAGAAACATTTCTTAAAATGCTTGTGTGAAGGTTTTGAATTTTGACTAACTAGATATGTTCAGCTGAACACATACAATATTTTTTTTAGATTTAATATAGCAGTAGAATATTTTTTCATCTTTTATTGCAACATCATCCAGAGATGAAGGGAAAACAACACAAAAAAAACATTTGCTAATACAGAGAGCCGTTAACATTGAATAAGTACCTTCTCAGGGACCACACTTTTTCCATCCCAAGCATAACCCCTCTTGGTGAAGTAGTTGACTGTGGCAAACTCAATGAGGGCAGAGAAGACAAAGGCGTAGCAGACGGCGATGAACCAGTCCATAGCTGTGGCATAGGCCACTTTAGGGAGAGAGTTCCTGGCGCTTATACTGAGAGTAGTCATGGTCAGGACAGTGGTCACTCCTGCAGGGAGATAAAACGATGAGAATGATGACCGTTATGTGGATTATAAATGCATGAAGAATGTCAGTTACAAACAGCGTTTAAAAGGAAATAAAACAAAACGAATTTAATCGTAACTTTGATTGCGACATTGTTCAGAAAGCAAATGGTTCGTAAAGTATCAACGTTTTGGAAGCTGGCACATGAATTTACTTGATCAAATATAAAAACAAGCCAAGTATATAAGCAGCTGACACAGTCTTGGCATTGTATTATGGAGATGTTCAGATGAAGATGGAAAGCAGACACAGCATTGAAAAGAGATGAGAATCAAGCAAAATTATGTAGAAAATAATGATCAGGTTAGATTAAACTGTACAGGTCAGCGTTCAGACCCATGTGATCATTAATCCAGCCGTCATAACAAAACCGTTTTACACTCACAAAAACATGCATCTTCCATAAACTTCAAGAACACAATGTTGACTTGCTCCCTCTTATATCCTGCCTATTATCAAAGGAAAGGATATGTAGAGATGCCAGCTTCACATATCAATTTTCACGATGTTAAAAAATGCAGACTTCCACCTGGTTTAACAGACGTTTCTGACTCCCTTCCAGCTCACTAGGAATGTATGTTTGTAATTTATACAAGAGAAAGCACATATGATTCATGACTAAACTCACTAAGTACCAGAGATGAAAAACACACTTACTCCCATCCCCTCCACCCGAAATTAAGACCTTCAGACAAGACTTATCTAATTATGCAACTACAAAACAGGGTTAATAAAAAAAAATATTCATTTTGAAATAAAATGGCTTGGCACAAAGTGCAGTGTGTCAAATCTAGAAAATCATATTGCTCTACTAAATCAGCCACGCAAAGGTATGATGAGACATTATTAAGCAGTGGAGTAAGTGGGTCAGACCGTATCTAATAGAGCAGTGCTCATTTTAGAACAGCCAACTGCAGATGTTTAGACCCCGAGTAAAATCAGTCCGAACAATCATGAGGAACAGCTGGCTTCAGATGTTATAAATACCGATCCACACATGCTGCATGTGGATGACATATTATCTTATAAAATGAGAAATGTGTTTTTCTCTCAAACAGTTCTCTATTGTCAGCAAAGAATGATTTGTTTGAAACAGAGCCTCAACCCCCCCACCGCAAACAGCACACAGTTCTGATGTATGACCAGTTAAGTCTTGCATTTGTGAGCATCAAATAAGTAGGTCAAATATATTTATTGAACCGATTTTTTTATAGCTACCTTTTTATGTGAGTGAATACTCAAGGCAGTCGTTCAGAAAATTATTTGCATCGTTTGAAGGAGACCACAGTAAGGAATAACAGGTTGCCTTGATAACAAAAGCAAGGACATATCTTCTTATAGAAACATTGTTGCTGTATTAAAATAACTTGATTACAGAATTCATACACAAGTGTGCTCAGGACAGCACCAAGTACTGAGCTGTTATGTGCAATCTTGATTTCCTGACAAATGGAAACATGTTTGCAAAATGTTGCTGCTTTCCAGCTCATTAAGCTGTAAACATCTAATGCTGGGCTTGGTGCAGCTTCATCTAGGTTGCTGCTGCATTTCAGATTTTTTTTGTTAATATAAATTAGATAATCCACAATGTGTGTCGAGAACATCACATTAGGATGTACAATAATTAAAGCTTGGGGTAACAGTTGAAATAATTTTAAATATGGAAACAGTGTATCAAAATGTTCTGGCTGACTGCGGCTCTTCCACAGAGCGGCCGTTTGAACAGCAGAACATTCCCTTTTGGACAGATGCCAGGGAAAAGGAATACCGCCTCGGTTTCAACCAGGAACAGCTCCACCTACATTTCACCGTGTTGGAAACAGGATTTACAGGAAGGCATGGAAGTAAATAATTTGAAGGAAAAGTTTGCTCACACTCACTAGTATACAAAGCCATGAAAATGTATTCACACGTTTTAAAAATGTTCAATAATTATCACACTCTGCCGTGTATTCTGTTGGGATTCCACATGAGAGACAAACATAAAGTAACACATAATTGTGAAGTGGAAAAAAAAATTATACATCCTTAAAGTATCACAAGTATCACAAATTAATGTAACAGTTAATATTAAAACACAAATTATTTTGGACAGTAAGAATAAGTGATGTTGCCATCACAGTTATTATGTAACGTTGTTTTTTTTATTATTTGTAAGTGAAGTTGCTAAATCTGGTAGATTTTCTAAGGAGAAATTATTTGATGTTTGTGTTTGTGTGCAAGTGCAGTAATTTTTCACAATAGGACCAAGTATTTCTCTCCTCTTCATCCCGCCTACATACTTATGTGAAAGTAGGAAAGATGGTGTTGGAGGTTGTTTTTACTCTTTTTTTACTAACTTACTTTTTCAACTCCTCTCATGTAACAGCATTGCTTTTGTTCCTTTTTATTTGAACATTTTGTCTCTTAAACTAAGCAGTTGATTTACATTTGGGCTTTACATGACTCTCAGCTGAATTTAAAGCCAAATACTAATGAAATGTAAGTATTTGATTAAGATAGACTTCCTGAAACATACACTCTTTTCAACTGGACATTGTGTGTCTATATAAAAGCTGGATGTGACAAATTTCAGCTTGTTTACCACTGAAACAGAAATTTAATTGGAGAACGATGAAGGCACCACCACTCCACTTGGTATTTTATTATTGCTTTGTCATTCTTAGTATCTCATATACTTTAGCGTGTTTGACAGGCTCTGTTGTCATGGAAACAAGTATCCTATTTTCTGCAATGTTTACCACAGATGGCGAGGAAAGGAAAAGGAGAAGATTATGGCTTAGCAATAAAAATAATATATTCATTCATTACATCAAATAATAAGGGCTTCCTGTTTAGACACAATGTGTTTGGGGGTTGTGAGAGCACAGAAAGTACTTTAAATTCATTAAAGTCACCTTGATCACAGATTGTACCCAAGATCAAATGAATCTTCTGAATACGGGATAAAGTTGTTCTTTTTTCTTCAATCACTTGATTATTTTCTCTTTTAAAACTTTGGGCCATTCGTCATAACCCCTATAAATAACATCTTTCTGCTAATCTGACAAATCTCAAGCAAGCGAATAAATGTCCAGGCCCTGCATCAGAGAGGAACCACAGGCGAAACCCTGTCAGCGAGAGCAAGGCTCCAGGAAAATGTCTTTGTATTTCTGTCACGCTCAGTGGTTCCAAGCAGAAGTGTCTTTCAAACAGTGTTTTGACTGAGAAAACAACCAATCAAACATGACAATCAAAATGTGGGTCAAAAGTACAACAGTAAAGCGGGAAGCCTACTGACTGAAAGCATACCCAAACTTCTTTGTGTGACATAAGTCATGTTTCTGGATGCTGGAGAGACCTGGCACCAAAGATGGTACAGATGTTGAGATTTAAAAATGAAAATACACATCTAGTTTATTCATGAATAATGCAACAGCTTTTATTAGCTAGAAGAAGTGGAAGGATGTGAAGAAACCAGGTTTTGTATCAAACCATTGATCAATCTAGATGTCAGAGAGATACATAAAATATAAACATGACTTCATAAACCCCCAGTATGCAGGTTTGCTGTTTGATTTACCAAAACCCACGCTGTTCTCACTTCCCTGGCAGAAATACTGACCCAACTTCTAGATGGAGAATCTATGTTTTATTGTAATTCAATTATTGAAATAAGCTGACTTTTTAAGTATTGTTAACACTGAGGTATTATTTTACACATTTCAGAGGGCAGGTTGCTTGAAGCTTCTTTAAATTACAGGCAAACATCTGGTAATAAGCTTGGAGAACTTCATTACATTTAGACAGGCGACTGACTGATTAAATAATTTGTGATTTTTTCCATGTGCTATCACCTTAAATATTTACTCATAAACATCATCTGTGCTTATGAGAAAAGTATAAATAAAGTAACATGTTGATATTTTAATTTTCTTTCTTCATAAAGTTTAGAGAGGTGCTATAAAAATGCAGTTGAACACAATCAGTTGACATTCACACAATATTTAGCAAGTATGTATGTTTTTCTCATAGCAGTATGATGATAATGAGTTTGAACCCATTTTATTTCATAATGAGCACATTAGTCTTGAATTTAATGAAGTAGGTGAATTCAATTAAATTCAGTTTTATCCAGTAAGAATGTCTTGAGGTACTTAACATAAAATCATTCAATTTAATCATACATATCTTCCCACTGATCCTTGTTGTCAAACTGTACAGTAAGCTAAATAAATTATCCAAAGTAGTTGAAAAAAGTTTCTATATAATGAAACCCAGTAGATTGCATCGAGTCATTCAATGATCATAGCTGCTCTGTGGCGAATTGTCAAGTTGATTATTTACAATTCCTCAATCAGTCTCAAGAGGGAACTGATCTTTGTTGGATATCTGTCAACATTCTCACTGTGCTGTCTCTACTTCATGCTTTGTCAATAACATAAGTGTCAAATAAGATTGTTTTTGAGGTCAATTACATTAAGCATCACTGCATCATCTCTGGTTATGGGAAAAGAATAAATAAAGTGACATGTTGATTGGCAGGTGATTAAATGACTGTGCCGGCACCACAACTGCAGGATGTAAATCATCCAGAGACGCACACAAACATTCATCAGCACTTCTAACAAAGTCAGTGACTTACCAATGCAACAATGTACATATAACCACCATGCTGCAGCAAAACAAACATGCCCAGTTCACAACTGTGTGCAGCTGAGTGTATGTGTAAAAATACACTCGGTACAAACTCTCACACAGGCTACTATTGCTTAATGAGCAGATACATTAAACAGCATAATGGGAGAGTCAATAAATCCCAAGCCAACCACTTTTAAAGCGGAAGAGAAAGAATCAAGCTAATCTTCCAAGCCCTGCCCTCATGACAGCTCAGACTCAGAGAAACAGAGAGGAAGAAGGAAGGGAGGGAGCGAGTTAGGAGGATGGAGAGCATCGTATCAGCACTATCAATGGCTGTTTCCT